TAGGCTCACCGGAGTGGAGTGACTATGGTACATTACAGCAATATGACAGTAATGGTATAGCAATAATATAGAATTTTCATGGTAATATTATCTTAGGAGGGGCTGGGGGGATGGCGAGAGAATCGTGGTCAGGACTAGCAGTATCGGTAATCTAGTTCCATCCTTCGACATGGATGACTATAATATAGAGGCCTGACTAATTAGAATAGGGTTTGGGGGTACATTATCTATGTAAATACTATAATATATAAGGAACCCCAAAACTCTATTCTAATTATTAAGGGCCCTACATTACCCTCAGTGATACTCCTGCCCTCCCCTTCCTTCGCCTGCCTTCCTTGTCCCGGTAGGCTGCGCTGGCGCCACTTTCGTGACCAATCAGTTCTGGTGCTCGCTTATGTTTGCCCCCAATGTTGCCCGAGCTTGTTTCAAAGGAACTTGTTCTCCTTCTTTTGAATGGTTCAGGCCCCAAGGAGCGTGTGAACCGGGCTTTTATAATTGCAGGTTGTTGGCACGGCCAACGCCACTGCGGCCGGTTGGGGCAACCTGGGAGGCGGCGTGACCCAGCAGCTTGCCTGCGCTTCACGAAGTGTTTTGCACATTGTTCTTGAATATATATATATATATGTATATAATATCGTAGTCTTCCAAGTTAGGGTCCCATATGGGTGCTGTATTATTTTTAGGTTCTCAGAAGGACCCTACTTTTAGAGAACCCCCAATATCTAGAAGTGGCTGAGGATTTTTATGATGTCAGTACTTTTCAACCCTATGGTCGCCTCCGGGCTGGAGCCGAATGTCGCTTGGCGTGTCTCCATGGTGGTGCCTGCGGTCATGTTCGTGCTTTGCGCCATCTGCATGAAGCTCTTGACCCCTGGCCGATTTTTCAGATATGATTTGCCTGGCTTGAGCCGAAGTTTTTCGATAAACTTGGCTGAACAAAAGCATCCGTTCTCAGGGCTTTACCAAGGTGCTGGGATATGCCTACGGCACGCAACTACGATCCGACCGTGACCGGCAAGACGCAGAAGCCTTCGATGTGGGACTATGTCGAGGTGCTGCGCGACCTTCGCGTCGTGGTCATGATCTTCCAATATTCCGCGTGTTTCGGCACCGTTCCCCGTCTGCTCAGTTTAAGGTTTCGGAACGCAGTTGTGCAATTGTAGGCGCATCGAAGTCCTTAGTGCAAGGTTTCACACCTTTGTTCGAGCATGGAAAACGGGAGCACACCCTTGGGACCTTGTGGGGTTAGGAGTTTTTCTGTGTGTGTGTGTGTGTTAAGAATTCGCAACAGTGCTTGAGCTTAAGGCCCATCCTTAAGTTAATGTTCTACACCGATCACACGTTGGCTCCTTGTCGTTACAAATTTGCCGCCACGCGTGAGGAACTCGCAATGAACAATCAGTTGGCTACGCATTTTCGGACGTACTTCCAGATGGATGCAGGTGCGTGCTGTTTGGACAGTAGTTTGGAATCCAGATGAGACAAGTTCGTTGCCGATACACGAGGCGCGCGGATATAGACTCGAGTGTCGAAACCTGGGC